TGGATAATACAGAAATATAAAAGGTCCCAGAAGTCCTAATGAATTGCTCTAAGATTGAAGTAACGGTATGTAGATTTAACTTGGAATGACTGAAGGCTAGCTGATAAATATCCCACATCTGTGTGTGTCAGGAACATAAAGGTGCTGGTAGAATTCTCTCTAATGTAAATAATTATGTTATTACATTACCAGTGGAAGTCCATGAATAAACAATTTGCCAATGAGTTCGGAATTAGAAGACCTGGGCATCGCTGATAAACCCACAGATACAATAACAGAATGGTTCCATGTGTTCCACCAAGCACCACTAAGAATCCCTTCTCTTTGAGGTGATACGTTAGGACAGCTTCTCTGATTTGTCATCATCACCCAGAGTATGCTGTCTAATATTCTGAAATCTGCTATTTCTATTGATTGGTATCATTGTCTTTTTATGTCATTTTGTGGTCTAACAGCATAAATGTGCTAAACGATGATGTAAAAATAAACACAAAGACCATTTCATTTAAAAGACTTTAAAAAGTTTAAATGAAAATGATTATCAGATAATTCATATCATATTAATTGGTAATATTAAAGTGATTGAATGCTGTAGTTGCACAACAATAAGTCCTTGCTTGGTAAATAAGCCCGTTCACATCTATAAATGCTCAGAAAAATAATGAATTTGTGCCATTTCTTTATCGTAAAACAAGCCCACCCTCTGACTTTGTGTAAGAAGTATAATTTGATGTTGGCCCCTGCACTTGTTGCGAGATAACTACGGCACAAATGTTTATAATACAATTTTCGGAACCACTTTATGAAGAATTAAATGCTTATGATACACAAGCTGAGTCATGCCTACTTTTCGTAGGCAGAATATTGTAAAATCTCTGTCATGTTTGCCTCTATTGAACCATGAGGGCAACATCAATCCAATCTGTTTACGCTGATTTACAATAGCCATCACAACTTAGTAGGTGGAAGGTTGAGATATTCAGCCATGTTGACTGGCAGGGTACAAAGTAATTGAAATCAGTTAAATTACTATGAATATTACTGTAAAATACTGTTGGTACAATGCCAATATGAATAACTTTAAATTTGAACAACTACAAACCAGGTTTAGCTGCAGTAGCCAAGAGTCAAAGGTACAGTGCAGGTATGAATAGTTTTAAAATTCTGACAATTTGGTAAGCTTTTTATATAAGGTTACCTAGTTAGCTTGTATTATCCAAGCTATGAACTAACACAAATAAAAGAATTGAAAACGAAACACTTTCGTAAAGTGTAAGGTGCATTGATTTACCTTGTGTCACTGTCTATTGGAGAGAGAGAGGCATACATGAGTATCTAATAAGGCCAGAATATGTGTTCTATGACTCATTTACACTACAATTTGTGACAATGATTAATTATGCTGTTTCACTTGTTTTGTGGAAATGGATGAAAAAGGCTTTATGATATAGTAATATAGTATTACATCATTGTGGATGATAGTGGTGGTAAGGAGAACAGATTACCAGGATAAGGTCATTCTGCCTCTCCCTCCAATTTCCTGTAAGGAATCATTCATTTTCTCCCTACTATCTATCCTTCAGCACCAGTCCACGTATCAGTGCTCTAATTTTCTCCCATCCTGGTGATTTGTCATTGTTAAAAAATCAGTTACCTTTTTATTGCTTTTCCATCTCCACCAACCCCACTTTCCTGTCTTCATTCCTACCAATACTCTTCCGTCCTATCTCCTTTGTCCTCCATTCTCCTTCCTTCTCTTCTTTACTGTCTTCTATTCTCCTTCCTTCTCTTCTTTACCGCCCTCCATTCTCCTTCCTTCTCTTCTTTACTGTCTTCCATTCTCCTTCCTTCTCTTTTTACTGCCCTCCATTCTCCTTCCTTCTTTTCTTTACTGCCCTCCATTCTCCTTCCTTCTCTTCTTTACCGCCCTCCATTCTCCTTCCTTCTCTTCTTTACTGTCTTCCATTCTCCTTCCTTCTCTTTTTACTGCCCTCCATTCTCCTTCCTTCTTTTCTTTACTGCCCTCCATTCTCCTTCCTTCTCTTCTTTACAACCCTCCATTCTCCTTCCTTCTCTTCTTTACTGCCCTCCATTCTCCTTCCTTTCACTTCTTTACTGTCCTCCATTCTCCTTCCTTTTCTTCTTTACTGCCCTCCATTCTCCTTCCAATCCTTCTCTAATGCCCTCCGTCCTCTTTCACTCCCTTCTCTCTTGCCCCTCATTCTCCTTTCCTCACTCTTAGCCCCCTTTCTCCTTATCCCCTTCTCTTGCCCCACCCCCAAAACCCCCACCCCAATTTTCTCCTCCTCACCATGCCCCCCTATTCCTTCATACCTTATCTGTCCCATTTCGTTGCCTTTCCCTCTTATTCTTCATTTGCATTCCCTCCCCTCTCCCTTGTTGCCCATTCTCCTTTCCTCTTTTTCAGTTGTCCTTTATTTCCTTTCCTTCCCCTCTCCCTTACTCTCCATTCTTCTCCCCTCTCCCCTCCTCTACCCTCCTCTCTCCCCTTCCCTCTCGTGCTTTCCCTTGGAGTCGTGACTATCATTTGTTTAGTCCTCTCTATTATCATCCATCTACTTCTTCCTTCCTAAGGCTAATGAGGAAGCAGATCTATAGAAGATGAGTTTTCCTATCTGATAGTGTTGATAAAATCTCTGAGTGTCATCTCTCCAACCATCCCCAGCCCCTCAGAGTGTGATGCCATTCCTATGGTGCCCCTTCCCCCAGGAAACATGATTACCACACACTCTAGTCTAAGATCATGTCTGCTTCAATAATTCAGTTCTACCAATTATCTAATTGGCAGTTAACATCCCGACTGTGATGAAGGTTGGTGCCTTTATACAATCACTGATCTAGCTTCCCATAAAATGTTGTCAGTTGTGACAAGAAGCGATTCCTGATTTTTCAAAATTCTTTCCCAAAGGTGTCTCCAGAAATAATGAAGATAGGGGAATGTTCCTCCTTAAGAGATTTTAATTGTTCATAATGAATCGTAAAATCAGTTATTTCGTGGTGAAATCATAACACTGAGTAATAGTGCAGTCTTTACAAATAGATTTGAAATATTGAAATGGTTTCACGGAAATATTCAAACTAACTTACAGACCTGGAAACTTGATGGGAAAATGTTGTAAAATTGGTAAAAAATAAAAGCTAATGGAATGAAAGTAATAGAATTTTCTGCTGCTGTTGTCTATCCTCATCTGTTTACTTTATTTGCCTCACAGCAACCCTAGGGAGTTCGTTCTGTTTTTCTCATAATAGCAATAATTGTGTGTTCCATGGGTATTTATAATACATTTTTTCATCACTGACCTCCCCCACTGTTCAAAACTTTATTAACTTACAGACCTGGAAACTTGATGGAAAATGTTGAAATTATTGGTAAAGAATAAAAGCTAATGGAATGAAATCAATAGAATCTTCCACTACCATTGTCTATAGACAGAGCTATCCTCATCTGTTTACTTTATTTGCCTCACAGTGACCTTAAGGAGTTCATGCTGTTTTTCTCATAATAGCAGTAATCGTACATTTGTATGTTCCAGGGGTATTTATAATACATTTTTCACCACTGATTTGCATACGTTCTCCCCTGTTAAAAACTTTATACTTGTGATGTCCTGATTTATTTTCCCAGGATTTTTCCATATTCCTTTTGATAGTTATTATGTTGTTATAGCTATCTGTCATACCCACTCTGGGGACAGAAGTCACATTCTCAATACAAGGCCAAAAGTTTGAACAGTTCAAACAAGGGAGGTAATTCTGTATATGATGGGATAAGATTTTTCATGTTTTTATTAGTACATATCTATTACAGCTAAAATCAAACAAATAAAGGATCTATTGCTGTAATTTGGTGTGAATATCTTGTCATTTTAAACATTTTTGTGGTTTAATTTACAGATTTATGCTTGACTGAAGAAAGTGATGGGAAGTACATATGTATGCTACAGTGACTAAAGGCTATCATTAAGGTTGACTTTTCTAGATATAATATAGAGGAGAGTGATTTCAAAATAGCATAAAAAGGAGCATGAGATACAGTTTACAATTTTCTTTAAGAAGTTTTTGTCAAGTGTAAGGCCACAGGTAAATATACAGGTATTTTGTCTCACCTTTACCTGACGTTTACCTGTAGTATACTTTACCAGGCCGACAGTCATGTAGGTAAGATAGGCTGAGACCTTTATAACTCATTGTAGGTTACAAAAATTAGACATGTGACATCTTTAATTTTAAAAGAAATTAATGTTCACACAATTACTACCATCATACCATGTGATATCTAATTTATAGCATTTGATTTACACTCATCTGTATGGCAGAACAATTTTAACATTACATATATTTGTCCTTTAATTGAAGAACAGCTGCTCTTGGCTTTTGTAAGGCTAACTGTATGGACATTATGACTAGTAATAAGCCCATGTTTGGTAATAAGCCTCCTCTGATTAATATGTTCATTAAAATCACAATTAAATGCTGCTTTGTCTTTGAGTCATAGGTACATGTAATGTATTGTCCCCTTGACAGAGTCCTCTTGAGTAATTATGGTACCTAAATTCAGAGGCATCATAGTATATATTTTTTTCTATTTCCTTGTATATCATATCTTGTACTTTTTAGCCAATTGATAATTATTAATGTTTCTTTAACTGGCATTTTCTCGTAACTTATTTCGTATTTGAAGTTGTAAGAGAAACAATTAAAAACACTTTCTCAGGTTTTCAAAGCTACCATTTCAAAGGACCCAAAACAAATATCATAAGACATTTCCCCTTGGATGCCTCACATTATTTTATTATTTTACATGATTAGAGAGCATCCTTTTGATAACTAATGACAGTTTGAGCGAACTGTGTATATGTTGGAACTCCCCCGCTGAGAGCCTCATGCTGGTCTGAGATAAACCAAGGGAAGTATCTTATTACTGGTGTTGGTACAGAGGAGATCTTTGTCCCCACGCAGACCCTCCCTCACAGAACACTGTCAGTGTAGCATTCAAGCTTCTCATTTGTAGCAGTCAATTTAAATCAATTTCATTCAAAAAGTCAGGTGAATCTTCCTTTCTGTGTTTACAGGCTGTATGTGATTGATGATGATCAGAGATTTGGAAGTCAGTGAATGAACTATGGGATTACATTAGTGCATCTTACACTGCTGAAATATTTTGTGAATTTTTTCTGTGGATTATTTGGTGGGTACTGGATGGAAGAGGAGATATAACGAGGGATAACTGGTTAACCCAGTGTGTAGTTTGGCTGTAACAGAAGTGATACTACTGTTTGATCTACAGGGATTACAGAAGATTGTGGAGGTGAACTTTGAGGTGAGTAGACTTGTGGTATGTAAACTGACAGCATCTGTAACACCACATATCACCACAGAGGTTTCTTTAGTAGACTTCAGGTACAGTACAAGATCGGGAAACAATTGGTCTCCCCATCAGGCCAATGCCAGCTAGAACATTCAATTAATATATATGTGCTTGACTTGAAAAACTACATGTATATTCCATTAAGAACTTGTAACTGGGAAATTCTAATAATTTCTGTGATGTAAAAGTTATTTAAAGTAAAGCTTTGCCAATTCCAAGAAGACTGGCTACTGTCAGCACCAAAGATTTTATACAGAATTGCTTAGTTTTATTTTCCATTTGTTTATCTTCTAGTTTCACACTTATGTTGGAATCAAACTTAACTGGGAAACTAACGGTTTAAACCTCAATTTCATTTATAATTTAATGTTATAGAGACAGGGGCCTGAGTCTAACTGCTAAATGAAATGCTTTCAAAATAGCCAGATTATCAGTGGGTTTCAGTGAGAATAATACTTGATTTCAAAAAAAAAAAAAAATCCCTTTTTTCCAGACAGGATATGATTTCAGAAAAAAAAATCCTTTTTTTCCAGACAGGATGCATACAGAGGTTTACGTTTTCAGGACATAAAGATGTTGTTTTGTGGGTGGGAGTCTTTGATACACAGAGAATATAATCCCCCATTCTTTCCTCGATCCAGGACCAAGTTACATAAATGGATTAACCCCTCACCTTATTGCATAATCTACAGATACCTGGGGTTGTGAGGAGGGGAGTTCTAAAACTCCCAAGTCTGTCTGTCAAATAGTGACATTTTCTTGGGAACTGCTTGCCAGGATCTAGCCCATCAGGATTATAACCTACAGCTGTCAGATGCTATACATAATGTAATCTGACTCCATAAAACTTCTGTGAAAAATCTCTTTTATAACAAATTATTGATATGACTTAAACAGTCAACATACACCCAGCCAACTCATGTGATGTGTAGGCACAAACTACACCCTTATTGTGTGTGACTGGTGGCAAGTTCTCCAGTTGTGGTTTGTAATGTGGAAAACAGGATGAAGAGCTGGAGTATGGTTGTTATTAAAAATAAGCATTTCTACTCTCATCTCTGGCCCATTAAACATGGCAGGAGACTTAATACCCTGTATCTGTGGGGAGATCTCAAAAACAGCTAGCAAACCATTTGAACGTCTTTTATATACAATATCTAGAAAATTTCAAAAAGATTTCCCAGGCTTCGGTTTAGGATCCTGCAGAAATTTAACTGCATAGGTTGCTTTGTGTAATCTGTCCATCAAATGTTTACTTCCCAGCATATGTCTTTCTGGCTCGATATGGTAACAGCAAGCTAGCTAGGTACTTGTCAGACGCAGAAAAAATGGCTTATACAATTTTCATGATGTAAGATTTTTTGTGACTTTGTTCATGAAATGTGTGTGGAAAGAGAAAAGTTAATCAAGTGCAAGATGGATTGTCCAGGTATGAGAAAAACTCCAAGAATTTGTTCAACGAATGCAAGTTATCTAAATATCATGAAGAATAGATTAAATCATAAATTATTGTTCTTCAGTTATATCAGTGTTTTTCTGGCTTATGAAAATTGCCACCCGGTGGAAATTTATAGTTGTTAGCTGTTTTTGTTGCAGAAGTGGAAACTATGAAAACAGGAAACAGAAATTGCTTGATTTTGTGTCCTAAACTCAAACAATATTAAGCTTAATTAGATTATGGAATTTTATCATCGTAACAGGATACTAATTAGATAGTCTAATTAATCAGCTGATATTTACCTCCTTTGACCTGACTCAATATTGACAAGAACACAGATGCTACATATGAATATTGTGTTGAATGGACTATCTTAATGGTATGTGTAACTGCATATCAACCTAAAAAACCGTGCCAAGATTAGTATCAGTAGGTGCGGTTATAGAAGTAGACAGGAACAGATTCTGGCCCTGTTTATATTAGTTTGTATGAAGTGATAAAACATGTTACCCAGTACTCTTGTGTAATCAGGATGTGTTGGCGGAAATAAGGTACAAAAACAAGGTGCACAGCCAACTGATAAAGCCAGGGATAAGGGGTAGATGCCAGTCTAGGGTAAAGATTCATCAACTATGAAGGAGAGGTCTAGTATTTAGGGAGGACCTGGTAAGGGAATCAAGAGGGACTACTTGGTAGTTATTGAGGCTTTTTTTATAGTGGTGGCAAACAGAAAACCCTTACATGTTTACAGCCTTTCATCAGTTCACAAAACCACATCTATTCAGCCCTCTAAATTTTTAGACTACCAAGACATTAGAAAGGTGTGACATTCATCTCACAGGTGTTAATTCTACCTGTATGAATGAACAAGTGGACTTGTGCTTTGTGTATCTGAGGGATTGTGTCACAGTGGATTTATACACTGCCTGAGGATAAGTGTGTTTTATAGGTGCCGCATATATGATCTATATATAAACAAAATCTACATATAAAGTTCTAGACATTTTCACTTTCACCTTAATCCTCTGACCTTGTACTTCAACCACATTGTTGTCCTATAAAGTACTGGGCATTTTCTCTTTTACCTTAATCCTCTGACCTTGTAATCCAGCAGCTTTGTGGTAGAGTTCATTTGTGTTGTCATTTCCTGCTTCAGTCTTTCCAGACAAACAGTCACAGATATCCTGACCAGATACCCAAAGTCAAAACGTACAAATGAGACTAGATATCCAAGTACATCAATGAGATATCTTAATAAAACCAACAAGACTAAATATATAAATACACCAGCAAGGCTTAAATATACCAGCAAGGCTTTATATCTAAATACACCAGCAAGGCTTTATATCTAAATACATTAACAAGACTTGATATGTAAATACATTAACAAGACTTGATATCTAAATACACCAACAAGACTTGAATACACCAACAAGACTTGATATGTTCAAATGAAATAAGATATATCTGAAAGCCAATTGCACTAGATATCTATATACATTATTGAGACTAACAATATAAATACACCAGTGAGATCAGATATCTTAATACACTATTGAGACTAGCAATATAAATTCACCAGTGAGATCAGATATCTTAATACACTATTGAGACTAGTTATCTAAATACACCAATGAAAGCATAATTTCAAATGACATGAAGTCAAGAGACAAGATACAAAGCAATGGTGTGTCACTTCTGTATTTCTCATTAAGTTTATCATGTCTAAAAGACATTGTCATCATAGTTCCTCAAACACTTTCTAATTAGGAAAGTAAATGTTACTTCATGCTGGCACTCTATTCTTTCTTGGTACATGTACATACATAATCATAATAAGTTCTCACAGGAAATGAGGTTTCCATCGTTGCAAAGAAGATCTGGCATATTTCAAGAAGGAAAAAAGCCCCAGTACATGAAGGCCAGAAAAGTAAATGGAAGTGGTAAGGAGTAAACCTGCACTATTACTTAGGCAGAGATGAACAGCAGGGGTATAACACAACTACACATATACAAGATATAAGTTCAATTACCTTCTTTAGTTCAAGGTCAATTGCCTTGTGTTTAGAGGTCTATGGTTGATGAGTTAAAAGTGTCTCACTGAGACGGCTGACTTCTGACTGTGTTATCCTGTAAGTCTAGGATGTATGAACATTACCTCTAACTTAAAGTAGGGGAATAGGCTTGTTAAACAGAAGAAAACATCATTTGTGATATTGCTGAAAATCCTGTATTTGTGGATGGGCTTATAACAAGAGATGGACTTATTGTGAGATGATTATGAAACCTTATTCCAAGTATACAGTGACGCACATTTCATCATCAGATGCTGTCAGTCTGTCTTGTAGCCTTAGAGTAAGCCAACCAAGTAAAACAGGGCTTATGTAAATCTAGGCATCATATAAACCATGTTAAGTTAACTAGGTCTTGTGTAGACCATGTAAATTTACCTGGAGCATGTGTAGACCATGAAAAGTTAACTTGACCTCATGTAAACCATGTAAAGTTAACTAGGTCTTGTGTAGACATGGTAATGCTAACTTAAGACCTTGTGTAAACCATGTTAAGTTAACTGGGCCTTGTGTAGACCATGAAAAGCTAACTTAAGACCTTGTGTAAACCATGTTAAGTTAGCTAGGTCTTGTGTAGACCATGTAAAGCTAACTTAAGACCTCATGTAGACCATGTTAAGTTAACTAGGTCCTGTGTAGACCATGTAAAGCTAACTAGACCTCATGTAAACCATGCTAAGTTAGCTAGGTCTTGTGTAGACCATGTAAAGCTAACTTAAGACCTCATGTAAACCATGTTAAGTTAACTAGGCCTTGTGTAGACCATGTAAAGCTAACTGGACCTCATGTAAACCATGTTAAGTTAACTAGGTCTTGTATAGACCATGTAAAGCTAACTAGACCTCATGTAAACCATGCTAAGTTAGCTAGGTCTTGTGTAGACCATGTAAAGCTAACTTAAGACCTCATGTAAACCATGTTAAGTTAACTAGGCCTTGTGTAGACCATGTAAAGCTAACTGGACCTCATGTAAACCATGTTAAGTTAACTAGGTCTTGTATAGACCATGTAAAGCTAACTAGACCATGTTAAGTTAACTAGGTCTTTTGTAGACCATGTAAAGCTAACTAGACCTTATGTTATTCATGTAAAGTTTAATATACATACTGTTAGCTAAGCTTTGTGTAGATCATGTCAAGTTAACTAGACCTTGTGTAGACCACTTAAGTTAACTAGTACTTAATTGTGTAGACTGGATAATAAATAGCTTCCACACTCCACTGATCTGTCAGCCATTGCACATACAGGTCGGTACCTAATCGGGTAAGTGCATTACAACTTCCAGCTAATCTGACCTACTGCATGTATATACCAAGAGACGCACGTAGTATTGTGATGTCTGAGGTATAAACACACAGATCTAGGACAGCTATGGAAGGTATATAGGTAGTACACTCCTGTATTTACATAATATGATAATGCACTACAGCATGTATAGACTT